GTCATCTGGATTAATATTAATCGGAACTGATTGAGCGGTTACAATAGACATGAGTTCATGGAAAGATAAGCAAAGAAACATCAGAGAATGCAATGAGTGTCCGAACGTTTACAACTCATTGCTTACGATCAAGCAGAGCTTGTCTCATATCCATTCACGGAACCACAAGGTCGAAACTGTACGGCGACCTTGAGGGCAGACAAGATTGAACCATGATCATCTCCGCAGCTGATAAACATCCTCCATGAGACCAGTAAGCCACTCCGCATCATGTCGATCAATAAACCCAAACCACTAGAAACATTAAAACAACCAAAATATCGCATTCTAGAACCCCGAAGCTCTTCTCCCGAACTAGCTACTGCGAGACAAGTCCTAGTCGAGAAAGAGAAGCAAAGCCCAAACATGAGGAGCCGTAAAACCTATTCTCCGATAACAGACGCAGCTACCAACCTACTACTGAAAAGTCAAGGAATCAGATGAAACCGACAGGAGAAGGTATAGTGTACCTCACTCAAAACCTCTCGAGCCCATCAAGCTCAGCTCATAAGCCCAAGGAATGGTCCCAGCCCAACTGAAACCCATGAAGCCCATATCGAGAAAGAGGTATCAGTTCACCGACGATGACTAGATCTCCGATGAGCCACCACCATCACTCGCCTCACCATCGCGCAAACCGGAGAGAAACCTCGACCACCTTCCGACCGCTGAGAAACCGGACCCGTCCCGGCCAATTCTGGAACCGCGAGACTAGATGATCTGCCCAAGCGTTTTCCACAAAAATCCGACTTCCAATGGCCAAGAAGACAGTCGAAACAGCCTCCGATCCAAACCCCAATAGCAAGAACTGACCACCTCGAATCGAAATCACCAACCCTCAACAATCCAGCCCTAGACCAACGAGATGAGAAAGGTATGTCAATAGTCCAGATCCGAGAGAAAACCATGCTGAAACCAGCAAACCCTCCCTCGTTCGTCGAAGACCACCGGCAGGAGCCGAAATCCCCGACAACACTAGACCACCGACAACCGAAAATCCAATCTCGCCAACATCAGAATCTCGCAACAGAGATCCAAAACCCGAGAGAAACAAAACTAAGCCTAAGAGAAGGAGTGGTGGGACGGCGACGGCGCTAAAGGAGTCGCCGCGCCGGCCAAAACCAAATCATATATACAAAAATAAATTCAATACCTTAAAAAATAAATTCAAAGGGTTTGATATTTTGCTGTTGAATATTATATTTTTTATTCAATAATTCCTCTGCCATTAGTTTGATTTTTCCCGAGGAAAAATATGTGGTCTTTTTTTCCCTTTTAGTGTGTTTTGTTTATTCTTCAATTAGATGATTGTGTGAAGAGATTCTTCCTCTGTTCATCTCTAAATCAAATGGAAGATAACAATTCTCTTAAGG